CCTTTTAAGAATAGTTTTCCTTCAACCCACCTTGGCACCGTGACTTCAGACATCATATACCCTGCAGAACAATTACTGGCAGCAGCCTGCAGCCTGTTCGTTTAAATCTGCAGAAGTGCAGGCAGCGGTTGCGGATGAAATGCAGTGGCAGAGTGCTTGCATAGCGTGGCAGGCCGATTCGGTCAGTACCATCAGAGAGAAAAGGTACAAGGGCTATGATTAGAGAAACAAGTAGGAATTACAAGAGTAGTATTTAGATTCAGGATAGAAAGAATTCCCTTTTAATCTCTCTGAAAAAAAAATAAACAGAGAGTGAAGCAGGAAAATAAAAAGAAAGCTAGTACACTAACTCTCTTAGTCATTTGACACAGGACATTGGGTCTCAAACTGTGTGGCTTATGTCAGTCATCTGGGACCCTAGGGAGCCTCACCCCATGGTTTCCAGTTCACTGGCCCCAGGGTAAAGCCTTGGACTCTCTAGTATTGACAAGTCCTCCAGGTGTTTCTCATGCATGCTGATGTCTAAAAGCCACTTACAACAGCTTCCGGGTGGTGGGGCTTACATAGCTAACATGGAACTGCCTTTTGTTAGATGCTTAGTATCTGAAACATTAATAATCACTTTGCTTTACACAGAACAAAGCTTATGGACACTTACCCTCTTTTTTTTTTTTAAGTCTGTATTTGGGACTATGTAAACAGAAATGAAAATTCATGCCTTCTGCTCTTGTCTTTAGCACTGGGAATTTGCCCCAAATAGTGTGCACTATCTCCTGAGCTTATGGCAGCGTTTGGCAGCCTCTGTGCCATATGTCAAAGCCACAGAACCCCACATGCTGGAAACGTATACTCCTGAGGTCACCAAAGCCTACATCACATCCCGTTTGGAATCTGTGCACATCATACTGAGGTAAAGAAACCTGGACCTCCTCCCCTGTTTTCTATCAGTAGCCTTACTAGAGATCAAACACCCAACTGGCAAGGGGAATCTTGACCTGAAGCCCATTGGCACTAACACTATTAATGGTTACCCTTCCTTGTTAGTAGAGTGGCCTACAAGAGCAAAAAGTCTGAAAGAATAGTCTTTCTCAACTGGGCTAGGTGGCACATGCCTATAATCCCAGCACGTGGGAAGCTGAGGCAGGAAGATGGTTAGGAGTTCGAGACCAGCCTGGGCTACAGAGTACATGCAAGGTCAGGCTAAACTGCATAGCAAGACCGTGTCTCAAAACGACAAAAAAAAAAAAAAAAAAAGGAATGGTCTTTCTCTTCAGCATCCTATTTATGTCCCCATTTTTTGCCATCAGTAATAGTATCTTTGAATACAAAAGCGCATCATGTAAGGTTTGTCCTTGCCACTGATTTTCTTTAAATGCAAGAAACATTTTTGGGATATCTGTAGATGATAATGAATAGGTTATCATGCTTAATGTGAACTCTTAAAGAAGTAAGTATACTAGTAAGACTATACAATTTTGTAACCATCTCTGGTTTCAAAGCTTACTCTAAAAGATAAGAGAGTTCTAGGCAGCTGATCACTGCATTATATTGACAGAGTTTCTATCAGCCTTAACAATTAACTGGGCCAGAAACTTGAAGTCAAAAAAAGTCAGGATTTTTCAAAAATAACTTCTATAAAATGAAGTTGTCTTTGTTAAGGGATCCTTCTTGTGTGATTTTTCACTGGCTATTCCTCAAGGGAATCTACTTGGATTCTGAGGGCCTGAGGTTTTTTAAATTTTGATTCTGGAATTTGCGCATAGTCAAATGTATATAACCATCTTGAGTTATAGCCTGAACTGATAATGACTTGAGTTACGTCAAAATGTGAGTGTTCTGGACTCTGGAAAGCACTGTCCAGTCAGCTAGTTTCTTGGAGTACCCAGATGGGGAGTGATGCAGTATCTGTATGCCCCAGGCTCAGGGAGCTGATTCCTAGCTGTGTATGCTTGAACAAGTTTCTCCACTCATTTTCTGTAAAATGGAATTAGTAAAGCCTATCTCAAAAGGTTCTTAGGAGGGTTAAATTGGTGCAGCCTGGCACCCTGTGTGGCAAGCACATGGCAGACACACATCAGCTGCTGGTGTGGTGCTGCTGCTGTCATTCTGTAATGAAATGGTAGCAAGCTCACCATAGGGACCCAGTGCATCAGGCAAGACCTGCTGCAGAACCATAATTCTGTACTGCGGTTCTGAAATCCAGGTATGAAACTAAGTTTTCATATCAGTTTCTCACCAAAATTCCCTTGGTAGGAAAACTTGATATGAGCTGATATTGGATCGTTTGTAGACTAGTTTTTTAAATGCCTGCTTATGTGTGACTGTAATGTTCATACATTTGGTACTCTATATTTGATAAGCCACAGGGCCCATTAAGGGCTTTACATTATGTGAGAGAAACATCATAACTGCCTTCCTCAAATCTGAAAATTTCCAAAGTCCTAAACACACCTGGCAGTAGCCTAACATAAAAGACTGTCTACTTGTGGTCCTAGAGTTTATGCTAGTCAAAACAAGTAAAAGGCAAAAAGCCAAGTCCTCAAATTGTTGAGAAGTGGAAGACCATCCCGTCCTTGGTAGACAGATGTTAAAGGTAGGAATTCAGATGGTACGATTGATGCCAACAAGCAAAATATACCCAAGGAAGACCAACACAAAGGCAGTGATACCTGCCTTCCAGCTTTCTAAATATCCTTCCTTGGGTGAAAAAGAAGAGCTGCTGCATCAGAGAGGTCACCGGGAATAGTTCTAGAGTGCTCTTTCTTCTTCCTGTGGAATAGAGATGGCCTGGAAGACCCCCTCGAGGATACAGGTCTGGTCCAGCAGCAGTTGGACCAGCTGTCTACCATCGGGCGTTGTGAGTATGAGAAGACCTGTGCACTCCTCGTGCAGCTGTTTGACCAGTCGGCCCAGTCCTACCAGGAGCTGCTGCAGAGTGCCAGCGCCAGCCCGATGGACATTGCAGTGCAGGAGGGTGAGTTGTGTGTAGAGCACTAGACCTGCGGAAATGCTGCTGGTCCCCTTGGCATCTTGCCACTCCCTTTTCCAACCTTCCCCCCAGGATTCATGCAGACGCAGGTCCATATAACCCAGAAGAGGATTTACGAAAGAATAAATGCTAGGCAACTAGCAAAGTTAACTGAAGTCAGACTTACAGTGGGTGTGTTTAACTCTAAGGAAGTTTCACACAACAATGGCCTCAGCCCAGTGTGGTGGCACGCACCTATAGTCCCTGTACTCGGGAGGCAGAGGCAGGCAGATTGCTGCAAGATTGAGGCGAGCCTGGGACTACATAGTGATTTAAGGCCAGCCTGCACCGCATGGCAAGAGCCTGTCTCAAAAAATAAAAATAATGGCCTTATCTGACGCAGGACGGCTGACCTGGCTGGTGTACATCATCGGAGCTGTGATCGGTGGGCGGGTTTCCTTTGCCAGCACTGATGAGCAGGATGCTATGGATGGCGAGCTTGTCTGTCGGTAGGTGCACCCCACAGGAGCCTTCCATTGTGCTCCTTTGACCACTCTCCCGCCCCTGCTGGGGCCCCATGGATGCCCTCCTCCCTGTGTGCAGAACGAGATCTTAGAAAGCTAAGTGCCTTAATAACAAAGGTCTGCTACAGTACAGGTCCTGCTTCAAGCCTTTGAGTGCAGTATGATCTCTGCCTAGGAGCCTTACTAAAAAAACGTGTTAGCAATAATTCAGCCAGGAAATGGTGGCTACATCATAGGAAAACTAATGTGGGAAGTAACTGTTAGTTCTGCATTAAGGCCACTGTCTCAGAGTTAATGGAATATGGAAATGACTACTCAGTGTTGTCAGACATGGAATTATAAACTTCTACAGCCTTTCAGATCTCTTCGCCATGCCACTGTCATCTGTGGGATGAAGTTCTTTTATATCTCTGTAATTTTCATTTTATTAAAAACCTTTAAGTGAGCTTTAAAGCTGGAGATTTGGCTCAACGACATAAGCACCTGCCAGGCAAGTGTGAAGTTGTGAGTTCGATCCCTGATACCAAAAAAGAAAAGAAACAGTGAAAAATCTTCTAAGTTGATGGGAAGGACATTGGAACATAACAAGTAATTTTTAAAACCTTACCTAACAGAAATGAAAGGCAAGTTTTTAGATGTAAAGGTTCTCACACATTTTGACCTTAGAAATACTTCCCCTCTTAAAAAGTATTGGCCTCAAAGAACATTTTTTAACATGTAGTAGTTAATTTCAAAACAACCCTATTCTATGCTAAACTGAGTAAGCTTTTATGAAAAATAACTTTTCCATAATTAATGAGAAGAGCTGAATTATTTACATTTTTACGAATCTCTTCATCTCCTGCATGGTAGAAGTCAGTTGGATTCTGCATTTAGTCTGTTGTGATAGGAGACCTGTGCACCCTCATGTGTGAATACAAGTGAAAAGAGCAAAAATAATTTAGGGTAGTTATGAAACTGATTTTGTGACTTTGTAGAGAACTACTCTGAAGGGTTCAAAACTTTGAGATGCTGTCTCAAGGGTGAATGCACTTTAACCTGATGCTTTGCCTCCATTGGTCTGCAGACATCTCAGTAGTTCTCACTGCAGAATCTTCTTTGCCGGGTGTGGCGGCACATGCCTGTAATCCCAGCACTCAGAAGGCAGAGGCAGGAGGATGTCATAAGTTTGAGGTCAAGTTATGCCATACGGTGAATCTCCATTTGTTTCTTTTCCTGCTCATTTTGTTTTTTAGATACCTGTCTGCCCTTAATTGTCTTAATCCTAATAAAAGTCTCCATGGTATTGTTCCACTGCCATTTTTTGAAGCGTAGAGCAAAGATTTAATAGGAATGAGATCTAATTCTTACTCTGATTCTGCAGCCTGGCATGATGCTGTATGCGTCATGATATAAATCTAGTTCAGATAGTATCTTATATACTGAATTGAGTGTAATCTACTCATGATATGTCACAATAATTTGCTACCTCTTCTCAACTATCAAAATGCCAAATGACTCACTTAAAATAACGTCATTCTTACTTGTTCAGCATTCACTCAGGTTTTCCACTGTGCTTTCTTAGGGGGCGAGGGATACAGGGAAAGAAATGAAGTCATGGTGCTGTATCTGCAGTTTGTCCCTGGAGGTGTTTCCCACCTATCCTTCATGTGTCTCCATTCCTTTCATCCCCTGGAGAAAAAAACATCAAGAATTGGGGCTGGGGATTTAGCTCAGTGGCATAAACGCCTGCCTTGTAAGCGTGCAGTCATGAGTTCGATCCCTGGTACCCTAAAAAAAAAAAAAAAAAAATCAAGAATCAGTGGGCTTCCTTGTTGGTATAGATGATCTGGAGTGGAGAAAAACACCCAGCATCTCACAGAAGTTTCAGGAAAGACCATTACCCCTCGCATCCATGTTTCCCCACTATTCCTAAGCTGATGATGAGTTCTGTCTCAGTGGACAAATACCGAGCCATTCTATCTTGACTGTGATTCTTATGGGGCAGAAATGAAGACTTTTATTCCCTCTCCAGAGCGGAGAATGCTGTTAAGATGAGTAAGGGGATAGCGTGTGGTTAACTCACTCATGGTAGCAGGATTGTCTAGAGTGGCCAGAGAATCCTGCTGTTGAATTGTTGCTCCTTTTTCTCTAGGGTGCTCCAGCTCATGAACCTGACAGATTCCCGCTTAGCTCAGGCGGGTAATGAGAAGCTCGAATTGGCCATGCTAAGTTTTTTTGAACAGTTCCGTAAGATCTACATTGGAGACCAGGTGCAGAAATCCTCAAAGGTAACAGACTCACAGTTGGCTCCATTTACTTCTCACTTCTTGTGTATGGAAACAGAAACAGCTGATAACAGTTGAGAGACAGGCTCCAGATTTTAGGTACTGGGATAGCCGAAATGTTTTCTCTTAGTTTATGGAATCTGGAAGACTCATCAAAGATTTGGGGCCATTTCTCTAGTAGTCCATATGCTTAACAAATGGCCAGTCAGAACATCTGTTGTTCTCCCCCAAACTGGCAGTTGCTAGTCTCTAAACATGAATTAATGTCCAGAGCAGCCACGGTTTGGGCAGTTGGCTGTCATGTCAGTATTGAAGGGGACCAGTAAGAGTTCAGTTCTGAGAAACTGGCCCTGGCCTTCAGCAAGTGTGCCCCAGAATTGTTGTGCATTTTCTTTGCACATTTTATTCTGTGTGTGGAAAATGTCTGAGGATGTTACTGTTCTGATTCATAGTTTCCGGTTACTTTCTCTTTCCTTCAACATTACACCAGCTGTACCGCCGACTCTCAGAAGTTCTGGGCTTGAATGACGAGACCATGGTCCTAAGCGTCTTCATAGGAAAAATGTAAGTGTTTCAGCTTGCCATCAGCAAGAGGCCCTTGCAGTCCTGTTGCACCTGTAAAATGTGATCTTGGCATTGTGCTGCCACTGCCTGGGTATTCCAGCATTGATCGTTTGCGTCAGAAAATTGTGCATTTGAGTGTGTGACAAGCTGTGCTTAGAGATATGGCCCGGCCCCAGAGCATTCCAGGCTTGTACAGAATCTTGCAGAATCTCCTCTTTAGCCTCTGGAATCACAGGTGAAGCCATGTAATGGCCTTAGCAAAACGGAACTTCCTCCCCAGTAATTCATGCTCAGCCTCTAGCCAGTTGCCGAGCTACCAGGGCACCCAAAACAGGCATTCACTTTCTGGTGCTGATTTCCAGGGTTCTGACCTCAGGGAAGAGCCCCACTTTCAGGCGGGCTTATTCTTCTCAGGAAGCATCACACCCTCTGAAAGTCTTGAGTCTGCAAAATCTAGTGTTGTTACTTGATCTGTCTACAAAGTTGGCAGTCCTAATTGGCCCTTTCTTTGTTTTTGTTTTTGTTTTTGTTTTTTTTTTTAAGTTATGCCCCTTGGGTTATATTTTTCCCTTTTATTGGTCCAATTTATCAGTGCACACACTAAAAAGCCAAGTATATTACTCAGGGCTGTGTGCAAAGTGACATTTTGCCTCTTTCCAACTCTCCTAGCCCTAAACACTCATATCCATGAGCTGGTTAACAATTTAAGACAAAAAAAGCAAAGGGCGTCTAAAGGACTCTGCCAGCCAAGCATCCAGAAGCAAGGGCTACTAGAATTCTGCAGCTGACGGTGGATGGTGCAGGTGCAGAATTGCAGACCTCTGCATGTATCACTGCCGCAGAAATCTCTTACCCTTGCTGCAGAAATCAGCCCTGGAGTGCCCCAGAATTCCAAGGGCCTGGGTATGGGCCAGTGTAGCTTTGGAACCAAGTAGTGAAGATTATCTGAAGGATAATTTTTCTAGTCAACCAAATGTAAGTACGGAGATTTTATACCCATTTTTTTTTTTTTGTGGTCGTGATGTCTGTGAATTGGTGATGCAGATGTGTGGTGACTTTTGATGGATGATTTTCTTCTTCTCTCAGCCCTCAAAGAAACCAGAGAAGTCAAAAGTGTCTTTTGCTTTTTTTTTTTCCTTTTTGTCCTCCAGCATCACTAACTTGAAGTATTGGGGCCGCTGTGAACCAATCACCTCCAAGACACTACAGCTTCTCAATGACCTCTCCATTGGATATCCTTTTCTAAGCTAGCTCCTGAGCGCAGCAAAAACTGGTGCATGGTCCCAGCAGCCACAGCCTCCTGCTGCTACTGCTGCTGCTTTTATTTAGCTGGGTAGCTTCCGTTTTCCTGGGAGTCTAAGGCAGTACTCACAGCAACTCCAGAGTCCCCAAAAGGAGCCAGCACAGCACAGATTTATCCCTAGCTAGTGCTAAAGCCCACAGGTATTCGTGCTGTGTGACTGACGTTGTGGCATCCTTTGTGCGGAGTCCTACAGCTGATTGGTGGAAATATCCTGATGCCAAGCTTCATGACTGAAGTGGTAGTTGTGCCACCTCTTACCTTGGATGCAACCACTGTAGTGTCTCAACTGCTGAAGCCTTTCATAAGCAGGGGTCTGCAAGAGCAGTGACACCTGGAAAAAACTGCTGGAGTGACTTTTTCTCATTTCTCTTCAAGGTTGTACACGGCTAGTGCTGTGCTGCATAGACAAGAAGCCCATTCCCAATGCACAGTGGGGGCCGCAGCTGGGGCCCTCGGGCTTAAACTTTCTCTTGGAGCTCCTGTCAAGGAAAGTGACTATAGGATAGTCATGGTTCTTTGGGGTAACCACTTTTTTTCAGGGTTCTCTTCCTAATCAGTTAACTTTGGTCAGCAGAGAACATATTTTTTGCCTATGTGGGAGTGGTACACTCAAGTAGTTAAGAAAAATAAGGCATTTTGAGTAAACTTACTTAATCCTGGAGGGTTTCCATCTGCTGACGATTCTCAGTTTGCTTCACACTTTCCTTGACCTCCTCCCTTCGTCTTCACGTACAGTAGCGTAAGGAAGCTAGTGAAGCTTAGTGCGGTACAGTTCATGCTGAACAATCACACGGTGAGTGGTTTCAGCTTCTTCCTGTCCTCTTTCCAGCCACCCACACACACTTCTCAGCATATCAAGGGATGTTCACACTGAGGCCCTGGTGCTGTGCTGCAGACTTCGGGCTCTGGCTCGGGTCACACTGCCAGGTTACTGTCATCGGAGCTACTCTCTGGCTTGAGGATGACCTGAGTTGTGTTGGAGTCACCCACTACTATTCATATTGGAGATAAATTCGTAGTAGGTAAAACCATAGTAACTGATACAGATCCTGAAGGAATGATCATGGAGCCATTAGTTTGAAAGGGCTCAGTAATTCTCAAATTACTGACTTGCATTCTACCTCTGACCCATGTTTTTACCTTTTTAACTTGTTTTCTTTTTTTTACTAGAGCGAGCACTTTTCATTTTTGGGTATTAACAATCAGTCCAACCTGACAGACATGCGGTGTCGGACTACCTTCTACACAGCACTTGGGCGTCTCCTCATGGTGGATTTAGGTACTGCAATAAATCTAGAGGCTGATAAAGTAATCTGGCACTGTTCTAAATTTTTATTTGAGGACAGAAAAACAGATGTGGGGGAAATGTCTGTTGTTTCAACAGTAACAAAACCATCTGAAATAACAGTCAGATTTCACCAAGAACACATCATTCTGTCATGGTCCCTATAGCTGGAAGAGAGTAACATTGTATTCTTTAAATTTTCATCTGATAAATAAATGGTGGCTTCAAAATTCTCTTCATCCCTGGGCACAGTAGCACATGAGTGTTGTCCCAGCTACTTGGGAGGCTGAGCCTGGAGGATCAGAAGTTCAAGGCCAGCCTGGGCAGCCTAGTGAGACTCTGTCTCTAAATTTAAAAGACCTATAATGTCTTAATATGTCATGTAGCTCTTCTGTGTAAAGTAAGGGGACCATGAATTGAGATTCCTATCTTGCTTGCCTTCACCGCCCCCATGCCAAGGTGCAGACCCACTTGGGAGTAGGTGGAGGCGTCACTGTCTGGGTCTCTTGCACATGTGTAGCAGGAGGGCTCTTGCACTGCTGGGGATAGTAGTAGTTCTGGACCAGCTAATAATTGAAGCCCAGTGATATTATTCTAATTTTGAACTACTTGAATTTAATCCTACTAAAAAAGAAAAATATTGTAAAACGTCCTAGGTTTTTGAAAATTATTTTAAAAAGTGTGAGGAAAGTCTCCATGCATACCTCTTTCAGTTTCACCTCGTTCTCACACATCAGCCTTTCCTTTGTCAGCTGCCTCTAGTTCTCACCGAAGGCAACAACAATCAGTAAGTTGAGTAGCACCTTATACGCAGATGAATCTCTGATGCTGTGCTCGGCTTCTAAAACAGGACTTCCCTGGACTGGGCGATCTCTGTCTCGTTGTTTAAAATTTTGGTTTCTTTGTATACATTCTATTCTTAAATGACTACTAAGGCCTTTTGAGATAATAAGGGAGCCCGTGAATTATCCTGGGGCCTGCTTATCTTTCATGCCAACTCCTCAAGCACACCCAGCTTGCACTTGTTGGTAGCAGAGTCACACCAGGGCTGTTTCCATTGCAGGAGAGGATGAAGATCAGTATGAGCAGTTCATGCTGCCGCTCACAGCAGCTTTCGAGGCAGTGGCCCAGATGTTTAGCACTAACACTTTCAACGAGCAAGAGGCAAAGGTGAGTGCTTCACCACCAGTGACCAGCTCCTGGCCAAGACAGTCCCTGATGGAGCATAGATCAGCCAGCGCTGCGGCAAACAGCGCTGTCCAAACATCAGCCCTTGGGTTGCTTTTTACTTATCTCTTGGGCTCTTGGGATTCTCAAATTAAAGAACCAGCAGGGCTTGATAACATCAAGT